TCTGTCCCCTACATATCTGAAAAGTCAATACCATGGAATTACGGCGGTGACGTCTACTACCATGGTATTAAACAAGTAGAAGTAACCGAAGAAAGCTCGGATGAAGAAGAAGCCAGCATTGGAAACATTGCGGGCACAAGCAAGATCACCCGAAGTGGGAGAATTTTTTCTCCAGAGATTGCCCCTCCAAAAGAAATCTTTGGACCCTCATCTGCTGTCGAAGTTATTCCTGCACCAATAAAACTCTCCGCTAAAACCCCATTGATTGAAGATGTTGTTGTTCCTAGTATTGTCCCTCCTACCTCTGCTGATAAAGGTAAGGGAACCCAAGTTGAGCTCGTCAGGACGAGGGCTCAACCCTTGGTCATCCCGGAAACCTCCAAGAAAGAGATAGAAGAGATCCTGAAGATAATTAAAAGGAGTGATTACGACGTGGTAGAACAACTGGGGCAGACCCCCTCGAAGATCTCCATGTTAGCATTGCTGCTTTGCTCAGAAGCGCATGCCAAGGCTTTGATAAAATTCCTGAAGACAGCCCATGTTCCCCAGGGAACCTCTGCCGACCAATTCCAAGACTGCGTAGCTAGTCTTACTGCAGACAATGGCTTAGGTTTCTCTGATGCCGACCTGACCCCGAAAGGGAGAAAGCACAATGACGCATTACATGTGTCAGTGGAATGCCAAGGGACTACTCTGGCCCATGTTCTAGTCGACATTGGTTCTTCTTTGAATGTGCTGCCCAAGAAGGCTCTCGACCGTTTAGACTGTGAAGGCTTGGAGTTAAGGCCAAGCAATATCGTTGTGAGGGCATTTGACGGATCAAATAGAATGGTGCATGGGGAAGTGGACATTCCCATTAAGGTTAGCATAGAGGTTTTCCCCTCAACTTTCTATGTGATGGACATCCGTCTGTCATACTCTTGCTTACTGGGGAGGCCATGGATACACAATGCCGGGGCAGTCACCTCTTCCTTACATCAAATGTTGAAGTATCCTGTCAAGGGAAAGATCATAACCGTCCATGGTGAAGAGGAATACATGATCAGCCACCTGAACTCATTTCGGTATGTGGAAGTAGAGGGTGAGTTCATTGAGACACCATTCCAGCATTTCGAAGAGGTCTCTCCTGAAATAACAATAGCAAAAATGGTAGCTGAGGTACCGAAGCAGATGGCCAGGATGGCATCTCTGGAAGACGCGAAGGCCGCAATGAAGGAAGGGAAGAATTCAACATGGGGGCAGTTGCCTGATATCCCATACAAAACAGACAAATTTGGATTAGGATTCACTGCCGCGGGCCAGAAAGCTATGCGCCGTTCAAAGATTGAAAGGGAGCCAATCGAGATTTCTCCTTAGGGAATCAACGCTTTGGAGGGTGAAGATGAAGAGGACAACATTGAAGAGTGGATCTACCTAACTATCAAAGGAGGACTATGCAACTGGGAGGCAAAGGACTTTGTCCCCATTACTTTTATTAATCAGTAATTTATCTGTCAAACATTTCCTGTGGTCTGTAATAATTACTTTTGAACAATCCGTACACTACTTCTTTTTTACCTCATGCCTTGCCCGGGGCATGTAGGTCCATTTGTAAGGGTTTTGATTATCTTCATATCCATGTGCCATGTTTAATGATTCATTGGACGTTTTTCATTTGATAAACTGCTGTGTTCATTTTCTTTCCTTTTGCATTTTTTATTTAAGGATGGCTATCCCTTACACACACCCACACTCACGAATGCAGGTACCCATCCACTCTGGATTCCATGGGTGACTATTCTGCTATGTCCTTCAATAACTCTGAAGATCTGGTCAATCAAGCCGAGTATGAAGATGACGAAGGTTGTAAAGTACCAGGGGAACTAGCCAGACTTCTACAGCAAGAGGAAAGAGCCATCTTACCTCACGAAGAGTCATTGGAAACTGTCAACTTAAGAACCGAGGAAGACCGGAAGGAGGTACAAGTGGGTGCCAATCTGGAATCAAGTGTCAAGGAACGCCTGATACAGTTGTTGAATGAGTATGTTGAAATCTTCGCTTGGTCTTATGAAGACATGTCGGGTTTAGACACAGACATCGTGGTTCACCGTCTCCCCACAAGAGAGGATTGTCCACCAATCAAACAAAAAGTCCGCCGAATGAGGCCTAACATGTCTGAAAAGATCAAAGCAGAAGTGATGAAGCAATTCGACGCTGGCTTTCTGGCTGTTACATCCTATCCTCAATGGGTCGCTAACATCATGCCAGTACCTAAGAAAGATGGCAAAGTCAGGATGTGTGTGGAATACCGGGATTTGAATAGGGCCAGCCCCAAAGATGATTTTCCGCTACCACACGTTGACATTTTGATCGACAATACAGCTCAGCATAAAGTGTTTTCCTTCATGGATGGATTCTCGGGTTACAATCAAATCAAGATGGCCCCCGAGGACATGGAGAAAACAACCTTTGTCACACAATGGGGTACTTTCTGTTACAAGGTGATGCCGTTCAGACTGAAGAACACAGGGGCAACTTATCAACGTGCCATGGTAGCTTTATTTCATGATATGATACATCATGAGATCGAAGTCTACGTAGACGATATGATAGCTCGGTCACAAACAGAGGAAGAACACCTTGAACATCTAGAAAAGTTGTTTGCCAGGTTGAAAGAATACAAACTCAGGCTAAATCCAAGTAAGTGTACTTTTGGAGTTAGGTCTGGTAAACTTCTAGGATTCATTGTAAGCAACAAAGGCATTGAAGTCGATCCAGCAAAAGTGAAAGCAATACAAGAGATGCCTGCTCCACGTACTGAAAAGGAGGTTAGAGGGTTCTTGGGGCGCTTGAACTATATTTCCAGATTCATCTCACATCTGACTTCTACCTGTGAGCCAATTTTCAAACTATTAAAGAAAGATCAGGTAGTCGAGTGGAACGACGATTGCCAAACTGCTTTTGATAAGATCAAGGAGTATTTGCTAGAACCTCCTATTCTAATGCCACCCGTCGAAGGAAGACCATTGATCATGTATCTGACCGTCTTGGATAACTCAATGGGGTGTGTTTTGGGCCAGCATGACGAGTCTGGTCGAAAAGAGCATGCTATTTATTACCTTAGCAAAAAGTTTACCGACTGTGAGACTCGCTACTCACTGCTCGAGAAAACTTGTTGCGCTTTGGTATGGGTTGCTCGCCGACTAAGGCAGTATATGTTGACTCATACTACCTTGTTGATTTCCAAAATGGATCCTATCAAGTATATCTTCGAGAAGCTTGCTTTATCTGGAAGAATAGCTAGATGGAAAATGATCCTAACTGAGTATGACATCCAGTACACCACTCAAAAAGCTATAAAAGGGAGTGTACTAGCTGACCATCTGGCTCATCAAGCTATCGAAGATTATCAACCCATGAGATTTGACTTCCCAGACGAGGACATCATGAATTTGGAGAACATTGAAGGTAACGGACCGTATGACGGACCCGAAAAGGGATCCCGATGGACCTTGTACTTTGATGGTGCTTCAAATGCACTTGTGTTGTACCCCAAATTTTGACCTAAGATCCCACTTACATTTTTGCATTTTTTATACAAAAGTCAAGGTCACGAAATACAGTCGGTTTTAACCTCTCACTTTCAAGCATTGACTATGCGAAGATTGTCAAGTGTTTTGAACATTTTTATCATATGTATCACTAATTTCTAATCGCATACAAAGGTGTATGTTCATGTTTTCTTTTGTTTCATGTGCAGAGACAGGTATGAATCAAGAGCATCAGGTGTCGCGCCTCAATTAAGGTCTTGAGTCTCCCAAGCCAGAAGTACGGTTGATTGTGGATTCTCGAAGACTGATTCATCAAGGCACACCGTTGCACCCTTAATTTCGCCCCTAATTTTTCAGTCGCACATTCATACCATATTTTGTCATTTGGTCACAATCATTAGTAAATATCTTCATTCGTCATATTTTGCATCATTAGTCGTATTTAAGTTGACCAGAAAAAGTCAGTTTAAATCAAAGTTTGCATCGTCTTTCAATTGTAAAATACCTGACATTTCACTTCATGCATTTTGATCTCTTTACTCGTTTCTTGCATTGCTCCAAGTTTTTTATATGTCGATAATAAAAATATTTTGGTTTTATAGACAAACTGTTAAAAAACGATTCAACAATGTACGAAAAATTAGCGAGAAAAATATTTCAAGTTTCCACCTTTTACCGATCATTTTATGAATCTGCACCTCGCATAGATTACGACGGTATGCTCGCTTTATTTTTTCGGTACAGTTCGAAGTCTCATTTTTAACCTTAAACGTCTGTTTAGTCTGATATTTTTATTATTATTTTATTTTTGATTTTTTGACTTTTTGAATATTTTTTCTTTAATCTTTGTGACATGTAGATTATTTTAATGTGTTCACTTTATTTTTTCGGATAAATTTTCGTCCGTTTTTTATCATTTTCGGTCATTTTGGGTCTTTATTTTTTTATTCATAAAATATTCAAAAAAATCATTTTAAATTGAGTTATTTTTTATAATTTCAGGTTTTATTTTATTTTTGTCATTCAGGGACTTCTTGGTCACAAAAAATATTAATTAGGCTTCGCTTAATTCTCATTGGTCGATAGCATAGTTTACGGATTGATAGAGATCGAATTCTCATTGGTCGAAAGCATGGTTTGCGGATTGATAGAGATTGGATTTATATTGAACGGCTTGGATTTATTTTGAAATCATAATATTTCTATTCTTTTTCTATTTAAAGGCTTCATTTTTTCTTTGCAAAGGGGGGAACCAACAAAAACAAAAAAAATACACCAACAGTAACATTTTGAACCCACTCACTACAACCCATTCCAACAACAATCCATCTTCTATCTAACTCCCTCTCCCAATTTCAATTTTGGCTTCGTCTAAAAAACCCAAACAGCATATTCCATTTCATCTTCTCCACAACTCACCCTCTTCCACCATCTTCTTACACTTTTCGTTCCATTCTACAGCAACCAAACATGGAAGAACAACACCACCAACTTACCTTCCGCAAAGAACTTCTCACTCCGTGGATGGCAGCAACTTTGATTGATTTCTATATCAACATTGCAATTTTGAGTACCTGGGTTGTGTACAAGGAAGCAAATTGGGTTAGCTCAATTCTATGGATAATTTTACTTATCTCCCTTGGAAGCGTTGCTACATTTGCCTATATAATGTTGCAATTTTTGAAGCTGTCATCTCCAGAATCTTCGCAGGACCCTATGAGCTATGTTCTATTACGACATCCACACAAGAGTAGCACAGAACCAACAGCAAAGTGTTCTGTTGTTGCAACTCTAAGAATCCTTTTCAGCGTTTTGGGTGTTGTCATGCTCGGAACCGTTTGGCTACCCTCACAGCTCACTTGCTTCCGTCTTCTTCAACCACCGCCGAGGGACTCATCCAGCCTCTCCATCTTTCGGCGTCCTCCGGGATCTCTCCGCCGCCGAATGTTAAAGGGAGTCTCACGGTTGTTGATGAACGGAGCGGGAAGAAGTATAGTATTGAGGTGTCGCCTGATGGAACCGTCAAAGCCAATGATTTCAAGAAGATATCAACTAGGAAGAATGATAAGGGACTCAAGCTTTATGATCCTGGATATTTAAACCTTGCTCCTGTGCGTTCGACGATTTCTTATATTGATGGTGATGAGGGAATCCTTAGATATAGAGGATACCCCATTAAGGAGTTGGCTGAGAAAAGCACCTTTCCGGAAGTGGCATATCTCATATTGTATGGAAACTTGCTTTCTGCGCGTCAGTTACAAGATTGGGAGTTTGCTGTATCTCAACATTCAGCTGTACCACAAGGCGTTTTGGACCTCATACAATCAATGCCTCAAGATGCACATCCTATGGGTGTTCTTGTTAACGCTCTAAGTGCTTTATCTGTTTACCATCCTGATGTAAATCCATATGACGAGCAAGAGGAAGGGCGGTCAGTTCCTAGAATCTCTAGTAACTCCAAGAACATGGATAATCTCACACTCTGAGCTTGCTGCCTTGGAGCACTTGTTAGTGGTTATAAAATGGTATGTGAGATTCTCTATTAATATCAATGACATGAAACTTGTCTATAAGTTGTTTTGTTTTGCAAGTGGGCTGAAAAACTATTTCATGTGAACATATCTTTGGTCTTTTTAGACTGAAACATCCATTGTCAATTACTTGCTGGCAGTGTAATATAAAAAAAATATATAAAAATATATAGTAAATCTTATATTTAGGTTAATATTAATTTATAATTTTTTTTAATTAGTTTAGATTTATTTTATAACTTTAAAATATTTAGAATCATAATTAATAACTTTAGAATTTTATTTTGTTTTAGTTTTATTTTATAACTTTAGAATTTTATTTCATTTAGTAAATTTTAGAATTTTTATTTGTTTTAGTTTAGTTTAATAATTTTAGAATTTTTATTTGATTTTATTTAAGTTAACTTTAGAATTTTAGTTGTTAGTTTTAGTTTAGGAACTTTAGAACTTTATTTGATTTAGAATTAGTTTAATAAGTTTAGAATTTTAGTTGTTTAGAATTAGTTTAATATTCTTTTAGAATTTTATTTGATTTAGATTTAGTTTAGTAACTTCGGAGCTTTTTTTAGATTAGCAACTTTAGAATTAATTTAGTTTAGACCTGATTCAGTAATATTAGAGTGTTAATTTATTTTAGATTTAATTTAATAAATTTCGAATTTTTAGTTAGTAACTTTAGAATTTTAATTTAGTTTTAGTTAATAACTTCAAAATTTTATTTAATTTAATTAGACACTTTAGAATTTAGGTTTAGTTTACTTAGTAACCTTAGAATTTCAAATTAGTTTAGATAATTTTTTAATTACACTTTTCTTTTATTCATGATTCTTCTTTGTCCATTCATTTAGTTTCTTACAATTATCTTGTTATCTACCTTGTTCATTTCTCGTGGATTTTAATTATTTATGATTTCTTACTCGAATATTAGATCTACCTGCTTATGATTAATTCCAAGGAAAATATTTTAACTTTCTTGACTTCATGTCATCAAATATCTGATACGATCAAGCGAATACCCTCATTCATTTTTTTTCCCACTTACTATTTTTTTCCAAAATTAAGTCGATTTTCCTAAAAAATTCAAATTTCAAACTCACACCTTTTAAGTCAAAACTTCGACACTAGGTCGTCGCATCTTCAAAATCTCGTCCATACCCATTTTTTAGCCAAACGAACCATTTTAATCAAACAAACAATTTTAACCAAAAACAGATATTTCAAAAGGTTCCTGCGGAGTACCGCAGATGCATTGGGTGCTAATACCTTCCCATTGTATAACCAACCCTCGAACTCTCGATCTCTTTTCAAAACGCATTGTATTTTCATTACTTTTAAGTATTATTATACATTGCATATTTTAGGGTTTTATTTCGCTCTTTTCCCTTTTCCCTTAGAAATAATAAAGCGCGGTGGGGACTCTTGCTTTTGCGAGTCAAGTTAATTAATAGCTTGATCTCCGATTTTCACCGCTACAGAATTGGCGACTCTGCTGGGGAAAGATTAACCTCTTGCTGGTCCATCCTTAAGTGGGTTAATCCTAATTTGTGTTATCTGTTTTATCATTATTTGATTGTTTGATTATATGTATATATTGTGATTATTTGGGTGTTGATAATATTTACAAAGGACAAGTCCTATAATCGGACTAAGTTACACTTAGGAATAGGACGGGCGGTATAGTCATGTTAACTTTGAGGGAGTAATCCCGAAGAAGGAGGCATGAGATCCCCCACTCAGTGGAAGGCCCTTTTGAACGTAATATTTGTTTACCGAGTAATCGGGAAGACATTATTATTTTCGACCTGGGAGCCAGAGAAGCTGGGAACCGTAGAACCCTAACCCATCTTGGCCTTTTAGGTGTAGCGCGGAGATTATAACGGAGTAATCCGGAAGTAATTGTTACGCGATGCTACGCTCGGATGAGTTTCTCTTGAGAATATTGCTGATTATTGAGTAATCAAGACGTTGGTAATATCCGAAGGAGGAATGTAGACTCCGGGAACTCTTAGAACCTTGTTCTACCGGTGTGATTAAACCGTTAGTACATACCCTGGGGGCGTTCCTTACCTTGACTCCATGCTCGTGACGTTGAATCTTTCGACTTTATTTGTGACCTTGCTTGTGGTTATTGCATAGCCATGCATTCATGCATCCATAAAACCCTTTTCACTTGACTTTCAAGGAATTTGGAGGTCTTTCTTTGTAAACATCACAAGTTTCGTCAAGCTCAATGGATCTTGGGTGTTGATAGGGTGAAAACCCTAATCCACCAAAATGGATGATTGATCTTGATGATAACTTGATCAACGCTTTGATCCAGTTCAAAATTCATCTTCTATCTTCATACTTTGATGTTTCCAACTTAATATCTTGAGTTCCTTGAAAGTCAGATAAAAACTCTCTTTTGCATATCATACATCATTCTACATTTTTTGTTTCACTTTCAAAGGTCTTTTTCCGAGTCTTATTTTTCCTTTGGTCTCACCAGTACAACACTCGCGCTAAGAAAACAATGGAGAATATCAAGCAAGAGGTTTCTGAACTCCGCAGAGAGATGACTATTTTGAAAGCTGGTATGGATCACTCGACTGTTTTGGGTTGAAATTTTGGTTACCGCCCAAGTCAATCCTTCTAGGATGGAGGAAGCGATGATAAAAGTCTTCACTGAAACTCTAAAATCTTTCTTTCATGAGAATGTGACGGTTAATGCACTTAGTGACTTTCCTGACAAGGTGAATGTGGGAGTGCGTCTAGAAGAAGATGTTGGGAAGGGATGTTCATATGAAGATGGTAGCTCAGCTAATGGTGTGAAGAAGTTTGATAATGACTTTTCCAAGAAGAGAACCAGAGGAAGAAATAATCATCATCAGAATCATCATGTTTCTCCCATTTACAACAGAATCAGCAAGTTCCTAATCAGAGGAAAACCCAGTTTGATCCAATTCTAATTACCTACACAGAGTTGTTCCCTATCCTGATGCAGAGGAATTTGGTTCAGACCCGATCTCCATCGAAGGTTCCTGAGAAGATACATTGGTACTACAAAGCTGATTTGGCTTGTACCTTTCATCAAGGTGCTCCTGGGCATGACTTGGAGGGTTGCTTTGCTTTGAAGATTAAGGTTCAGAAGTTGGTTAGAAGTGGTATCTTGTCATTCAAGGACGTTGGTTTTGAAGTTCAAACCAAGCATGTGCCGAAGAGTAAACACGATTGATGATCACTTTGAGTTTTGAAGGATGTTTTCGGTAATTCAAGTCCAGATGGAAAGCCTTCCTAGATTATTAACTTATTCATTCTTTTTGTAATTTTTCTTGTTTATCAAAATATTGTTTGCATGTAAGAACTTGTTTGCATCTGAATGATTATCTTAATACAATGGGTATGTTTGTCTTGAAGAAATTCATTCGTTTCACTCATATTTGTTTTCAAATTTTAAATTTCTTTTTGCATTATGATACCAACTTATTGCCCATTCTCTTGCCTAGGCAGAGATTGAGGGGAGGATGATGATCTAAAGAACACAAAATCTCTGTTTGTTTGCTTTTGGATAAAATCTTGCTGATGATGTACATGCATTGTTTCAAATCCCTAAACACTGGAGATATAAGGAAGATAATCCCTTGCTAACCCCTTTTGAGCCTTTGAAGCAGAAGTTTCTTTTCTATACGAAAAAACCTTGAATTTTAACCTGGGGCAAGGTAGTTTTTAGTTAATCTGACTGAGTGTTCAAAATTCATAAGGAAGATGTTTTTTGAAGAGAAACTACGAGGGCTATCTTTCATGTATAATGAAGCCAGAAGATGTGGAATCACAATGTTATCCCTCATTCATCAAGAAACGAGGCAATCACAATCCTCTCAACAAGCAAAGACAAGCTAATGTCACACATTTTGTTCAAAAGTCAAAAATCGAGAAAAAAAGAAAAAGCCTGCTAAGTCAAAAAACATGAAAACGTGTGACTCAGGCAAAATTAAGGCATCCCGCTGGACTATCAATTCAAAAGAATTAGTTCAGGCAAAAGTTAGGGAAAATAAAAATTGCAAAGAAAGGACTACAAAGAAAAGTCCTCAGCAAAGAACAAATTGGTGACTACAAACACGAAGACATGAGGGTGGTTTCTACTCCGAAAGCCTCGTCGTTTCCTTGACCGTCACAAAATCTTTTTGAGAGTTGAACACTCATGTTGAATTAACTGAACATAGGGTTGGAGAACATCGCGAAGAATGGGTGGGCACCAAATATTTTGAGCCTTAAAATCTTTTTTTTCTAAAAACCATGAACCAGACCACGTTACAACCTTCAAAAGTCCTAATTGAAGCAAGGTTATTTTAAAAGCATACTTCAATGAGATAGTGTTCCTGACTCCCATGAATGTTCTAAATGGTTATGTTGGTATCATATGTTTTTCCTATACAAAAATAAATGGTGCTTTAGCTTGCAAATTTGTGCGATATCATTCAAAATCTTCAAGACTTACATAACTGTTGCATTAGAATTTTCATTCTCATTGTAAACTTTTTCTAACTGCAAAACATTTGTTTGATATCAAGGAAGCTCACATAAGCACCAGTGATGAGTTTATTCTTTTAAGGTTTGAAACTATGTTGAGTAATTGGCGAATCATTTCAAGAAAAAAATCATATCCAGGGGCATGTCAGCTGAAGACCTTAAGCACGGACATGTTGCTTCTCCCAGTTAATGCTTTCCCAACTTCTTTACTCTTTATTGGGGCAAAATTCGAAGACTTTGTTGTGCCAACTACAGTTAATCCGGGGCAATCACGTCGAGATTCGATGAATCTCTCTAAGAGTTTGAGGACACCAGAGCATGGTGAATGTCAGGTCTTTTGTAAAATCCTCTTGAGACGATTTCTCCTCATCAACCAGATAGCTTGGGGCATGTTAAAAGTGAAGCTGTTCGCAAGAATTGTCGTGCAACATGCAGCTCATCAGCAG